CACACACACACACACACACACACACACCACACACACACACACACACACACACACACACACACACACACACACACACAGACGCGCGCGCACGCGCACACGCACACGCACACGCACACGTGCACACGCACACGCACACGCACACGCACACGCACACGCACACGCACACGCACACGTGCACACGCACACGTGCACACGCACACGCACACGCATACGCACACGCACACCCACACACACACACACACACACACACACACAAACACACAAAAAAACACACACACACACACAAACACACACACAAACACACACACACACACACGCGCGCGCACGCACAAACATGCAGCTCTACAGGCCCCATGGCCACGCAAGGAATCCTTCACGACCCCAGCAGCAGCCTCATCGGCAGTTGCACTTCCGTACGCGGGGCTGGAGAGGAGTGGCCCGGTGGCGAGCATGAGCAGTCCGACAGTCGGACTGGTGACCTCACAAGGCTCACCTGGGGGACGGGAATTTCACATTGACACTTCCAATTTCACCTTGACACTTCCTTTTGTGATTACTTGCTCTTGGTGTTTTTATGTATAATCGGGCGATTGATCTCAAGCTTGTTTCCGTAGGTACGAGATTGCACAGCCCTGTCACAGTAATGGTACCAAGAAAATATAGTCTAGATATTTCAAAACATATTTGAAGCCGTTGCGTACTGCACAAATCCTTCCATTCGCATATCCGGTGCCTGATCTTACAATCCATGAGGAATGGAGCACGGTTTTTTACGCTTAAATCGTCATTTTTTCCATAAGCAACATTCACGACAGCGCTCGTGGACGCCATGGACTGGAACTGGTTGGGCTGGCGCACAAACACGCCGCACTAGCTGCTCATTGATGCCGCGCCTCGCCAGCATCCTCTTCCCAACACGGACTCTGCCGATTTTTTGAACAGGAATGTAAGGATATCTTTGGTGTATAACCTGTACGAGGGCTGATGATCCAGTGCTTTTGCACTTATTGGTGGTATCCACCCGTCGAAATCTTTTGCTGTGCATCAACGCTTGTTCGTCCCAATTTTCCCCGGTGGCCCTTATATGAGTATGCTAAAAATCTGTGATGACAAAGATTGGGTAATGTAGTAGCTTGTGGCAATTTTGTAGCCTATATAAATTGCAAGTGGGCAACTTGCAATGAGACTGCTGCTCACAGGAGACACAATGCAGGAAACGCCGGCTGCACACACAGGAACGCTTGCTGCCGGCGCATGCACGTGCACGTTTCACCTCCGTGCGACTTTCATGTAACATAACCCGCTTACCTAATGCCATCCTGCACCAGCACTGCAAATACAGTGCATGACACTTTATCAAATACTGCCCTGACTTTTCCCAGAGGTGCTTTACTACACACGGTACTGCTTGCATATGGGTGGCTCCCCCAGCTGAGGTGTTGCACCTGGACCGAGCGAGCCGATATGCAGCAGGTCAGCGCCTGTTGGCAACAAACAGAGAACCTCATGTCCACAATAAACTTCACTTTGACATGAGTCGCGCTGTAACAGGGTCTGGCAGGGATACCCACTCGCTCTGAACACTCTGCTGCTTGCGGCACACTTGTTGCTTCACCCCCTCTGTGAGACGGTGACGGCCGACTGCCGCTCCAAGGCAGTTGATGTGCACTTCTATTTCACTTTGCTACGCATATCTACAATGCTTAATTTTGCATCTCTCTCTTCCCGCGTGCGCGCGCGTGCGTGTGGCGAGTGGCCGTAGGAGCGTGGACTGGTCTCCAAGTTGTGACAAACAACAGCTCGGCATGGCCCTGAAGGGGGGATGGTGTGGCAGTGAAGCGGGGCATGAGACCTCAACACGTTGCAGCTGCGATGGTGGCTGTGTGGTGTGCACGGAAACGGCTGCGGTACCTTGACACCTGCTCGACACCTGCCCTGGTGTCACCATGCCACCGCCACATGGCAGCTGCCCGCACAGGCCCATTCCCGTAAGCTTTTACAAGTGTGACGATCAGCGCGAACGTGGTGCCCGCGGACGTCCTGGGGCAGTGCCACCAAAGCACCGTGAGCTTCTCTCGCCACGAAGAACGGGTGTACTTTGATTTTGGCAAAGCGGTCGCCAAATTCAACCAGCCCGGCACAGTCAAGGGCCTGTTCTCCACAAACGTCTGGACAGTGCCACTGTCCAAAAGGCGTGGCCGGTAACTCGCTCGGCCTCATCATGGCCCGCATTTCAAACAAGGATGTACCTGTGGTCGCGGCGCTCCTCCTGCTGGGCTGGCTGGGCAGCCTCCAGGGCGTCAGGTGGGGTGCTGGTTGCAACCGCGGGTGGCATCGCGGTCACCCTGGCCAAACCTACGGTACAACAACATGCTGGACTTGGCGTGCCTTACAGTGTTTGCCTCCAGGAATTTTAGGCACAATGGCGCGATTGTCACTCACCCGCCGCTGCCCTGCCCCATCTTGAGCTGAAGACCACGCACGGGTTCCATCATTCCCCTCACATCAATGCTCCACCCCACCCCACTGCGCCTGTCGCTTGTGAGCACACAGCCCCGCAGCAACCGCCAAGAAGCCGACTCTGAAAATTGTAAGCACGGTGCTGACAGGAAAGAGCTACCTGCGCATGTTGAGGATGGCTCAAGTGCTGTATCTCTCCCATAGCGAGCTGACATTTATGTGTCAGCACAGAGCATGCATCTGTGTACGCATGCCATAAAGTGGATGTATGCACAGTACATACATTCACGCGGCTGCATATCAAGTTCAGTAGACATGCCTCCGAGCCGTAAGCACTAACACGCCCACTCTGAACACGTCAATGAACAGTGTGCGCCTGTCCAGGCCATTGTAAAGAACAGCTGCGCCAAAACGTCTGGGCAAGCGACGACAGACCAGCTGTGCAGCGCGCTGCTGGCCCCCGCCGTCGCGACGCCCGACAGCAAGGTGGGTACCAGCAAACCCGCATTCACATGTGTCCATTGCATTGACAGTCTAGATAGAGTAGTCTGCAGCGGCCACAACAGCATCCCCCCCTTCTTGCATCAGTGCATGGCATACGCTCACTGAGTTGAGTTGCGCGATCGGCAACCATGCCACTCCCACACGCTTGCTCACTTCATACGTAGCACTTCAGTCATGATACATTCTATGCACTGCCACGTGCTGTCCCCACCCAATTATCTGGCCAACAGATCCCATAATGCACACCCACACTGACACTCACATCTCTGCACAACCCACAACAACGAACCCGCTCTGTAATTCAGGACCCCCTCAAGATCAATTACGGCTGTGGTCTGGTGACGGCCACACAGCTGGGCAACTTTTCAAGCAGCCTGGCGGCCCTGGAGTCAAAAGTCGATGCTGCCACCAACCAGAGCAGCAGTGTGCAGGGCACATTGTTGCAAGGCAGCCAGCAGCTGCAGTCCAAGACTGAGGGGCTGCAGGCAGCTGTAACAGCGCTCAACAGTACAGTGCTGCAGCTAACACTGATGCTCAAGGATAGCAATGCACAGATCGCAGCACTCAACAGCACAGTGCAGCAGCTAACAGCAATGCTCAAGGACAGCGTTGCACAGGTCACAGCCCTTGTTGCAGCCAGCCAAACCGTCAACCGCGACATCGCCGCACTCAAGGCTGAGACGGCGGCAATCGCGTCAATCAACGCAACTGTGAGGGATCTGACATCCAGGAGTGCTGCGGACGTGGCAGCCATCACCCTTGTCAATGCCAGCCTCACCACTCTCGAGGCGACGGTGTCAGCGATAAACCTGACATCATTCTTGAAGAATACAGACGCCATCGACGCCGCCTTGCTGGGCGGCTTGGCGGCGGCGCAGTACCTGCGAAAGCGCATCGTTCTGTACAGCTCCCCACCCACCCTCAATGGGGGCCACGGCGGCCGGGCCGGCGCCGACTCCAAATGCCAACGGTTGATTACGCAGCCTACGGTGGGGCTGATCCAGGCTCGCGCGTTCTTATCTGTCAATGCCGCAGACGAGATCCGAGACTTTCCCCAGCTGTATGGGGTGCCGACAAATCTGCCGATTGAGTCGGCTGGGGGCACCGTCATCGCCGGCAACTGGACTGAGCTGCTCAGCGGGAGCATTCGGGCCTCATTGCGCAGCGCGGGGGTGGTGTCTTCATCTGCGTGGTGGTCGGGCTCCAACGCCGATGGCAGTTTGGCGGCACCCACATGCAACGCTTGGTCGAGCGCCGCCTTCACTGATGCTGGCACGACTGGCAGTTCCGATGCGACGGGCACTGCATGGATGAAAGGAAATGCACCCTTTGTATGCAGCAATACGGTCGATGTGAGCCTACTTTGCATTGCCTTCTAGTGGTGTATGGGTGCATGATGGACCAGATATGATTTTTCGGACAGCCGCGCAGCTGCACGCATGCGCGTCATTGCACGTGCCGTGGAGCGCAGCAGCATTGTGTAATGCGCTGACAGACTGCCAGGCACCCGACCAGCCGGGCCTGCAACGCGCAGAGACCGGCCGTGCCCCCATTGCCTTGAAGTGTTGGATTCAGCATATATGATAGAAATCTCAAAGTTTACAATAGGATCCTCCACGCGCCTGCACAGTCTTTTCAATCCTCGCGGTACACACGACAACAAATCTAGTTGTGTCGCCCTGATTTCTTGTTGACTTATCCTTGTGCCAGGGCTGACACTCCAATAATGTTGGCTACTGGTGCTGTCCACCTCCGTGATTACTTGCTGGGCAGAAGGGCTTGTTCCTCCCAATTTCTCCCATTAGCTGTAATTTTATTGGTTTGAGAAAGGTGATATAGACATACATACAATCCAGTTGTTTGTGGCATTTTTGAGCCTGTACAGTTTGCATGTGGGTGACTCACATTGGGACTGTCAATCAAACTGCAAGAAATACTGCACACAAAGAAACACCTGCTGCGAACCTAGGTTCCACATCCAAGCGACTTTGCAGGTGGTACGAGCCGCTTACCAAATTTCAACCTGCGTTTGCAATGCAAAATTCAGGCAGTCCATGACAAGCTATGACGACTCTTCAGAGCCTCCTTACCTATCATCAAAGTCACTACCCAGCTTTGATGGTGCACCTGGGCTGAGCAAGCCGACCTGCGTCAGCTTACCGCCGGTTGACAGCAATAGGAAACCACATGCCCACAACAAACCCCACTTATTACCCATGTTATATACACCACCACAAACCCCACTTATTATGCAAATGTTACATCACCCCACTTTGATTTGCAAAATCTGCATCACAGTTGCCAGGCATCGGTCACTCACAAGGTCCAGACCTCAGGGAGTGCGGTGGCAGCTGCTTGCAGCTACTATGTGAGCTAACTTGAAGCACATATCAGCAATTGCCCAAAGCTCAACGGAGCATTCAATAAACTTGTTCATAAAGGAAGCGCTTCATGAACGTCACAGGCGCTTTGGCCAATGACCCCCACAGAAAGCGGCTGGGGCAATACTTGCATACATGACCTTGAGGGGACGCAGCCGCAGCAACGGGTAGTATGCAGGCACAAGGAATGACAAACATGCGCACCATACTCGTTGCACAGTGACCGACAGGGGTGGTGAACCCATCTGGTTGTGCCACACAGGGCAGGCGCACTTGATTGTGTGTTTGGTCAAACGGTCACCAAAACGCATGTCAGTCTGGATGTTGAAATATCTAAAAGTCCACAAGCACTTAAGCCGTCATAGCTGGCGCGTACCAAGACAGCCCCTGCAGCTCGACACGCGCCGCCCCACCCTTGACTACGGGGATGTTGACGCTGCTACCACCCGCAGCAGCGCTACCCCCTGCGATCAGCGGCGCCCAGCACTGGGAGCTGCCGTCTGCAGTTGCGCCGCTCTTAACCGTAACGGCCGCAATGGTGCCGTTGGCCCCGACCTCGATCGCGTACGACAGGGCGCACTCATCGCGCGCCTGCCTGGCGAGGAACGCGGCCCTCAGGTCGTCTAGCTTCAGGGAGGTGAGGGGCCACGAGGCATACTTGGCAAACTCTGCCACGACGGCCTCCACCCAGCGCATGACCAGGCTCTTGCCAGAGCCGTCCAGCAGCGCCAGGTTGGCTTGGTGCTGCAGGAGGTTGGGGGTCAATGCCGGCAAATCGGGGGTGCAGGGTTGAGCGAACAAGGCGACACGAGAGCTGCCACGTCCCCTTGCAGTCTCGACAGCAGGTCGCAGGACCGCCTTCGCTGCGCGCTCCGCCTTTTTTGGGGTCGACCGAGCCCCGTTTTTACGCACTACGCCGGCCGCTCACCATCATGTAGGGGTCGTGGCGCAGCGACAGCAGGCCGTCCCTGACGACCAGGGCCGCCTCTCGCTGCATCAGCTCGTCGATGGTCGAGTCTTTGCCGAAGAAGGAGCGGTAGAGGGCGTTGTACATCGCCAGGTTCTGGCTGGCAGTCGAACAGTTGAAGTAGATCTCTGTTGCAAACCGCGGCAGGATCTGGAAACCGCCGTAACCGTGCTCTTCCTCTGTCGTGTAGAGCATGTGGTGGGGGTTGTCAGGGTTGGTGAGGAAGCTCCACGTGTTATCGCCGACAGCGCAGCCCGCGCCTAGGCGTGCGAGGGCGGCGAGCGCGTCGCCGTTGTGGAGGCCGCTGATCTGCGAGGTGTGGCCGTATTTAGGGGAGCAAGGGAAAGAAGAGTGTTTAGATGCGTGAATGCAGAATCTGCCGGCGTCAGCCAACCATAGCGGGCACCAGGTTCTTGCAGAGTGTTCGCTTTACTGCGCCTAGATTGCACAAAATGGGCGCAGTTTGCGGTCACACTTCACAGCAAACTTGCACGACAGCCGGCTGACCAGCAGCAGCCCACACAGCAAATTGATCAATACCTCATGCTCACCTGCGGCGTGACCATGCAACTACTGCTGAAAGTGGAGCGGTTCGACAGTCCGAGGAAGGCCTGCGATGGTGGAAGGTCAAAAGGAGTTTTGTGTTGCGGGTGAAGCGAGCTGGTGGGCAAGGAGGTGGGCGTGCAGCACTCTCTTGCGCCACCCAACGCATCGTGTCACTTCTGCCCACTGTGGGTGACGGCGGCCGCCCCCTGCAATCTCACGGCTCACCGCCATGTCCTTGTTGAGAGCCATCTGCATCTCTGCATCAAATGACGTCACATTATCCAGGATCTGTGGCAGCAAGGGCAGACGTGTGCAGCGTGAAGTTCCAAGTTTGCGAGTTCAGCGTTAGCAGACCAGCCCGTGCATCAGATATTGCTGTCTTCAAGCGCGTGCTTGCCCTGCCCGCGTGGCCTTGACCGACCCCTGGGCTGATGTGCTGCAGGCTGGACCCACCTCGTGTGTAAACGTGTGGTGCGAGAAGAAGAAAGCGTCCGCGATGCCCCCCTCGTTGTTCTTGATGGCTCTTGCGACCTGGTCCTGCAGGCTGAACTGCGCGTCCTGCCACTGAGAGCTGAAGTTCATGGCGGCCTATGGGGGTGTGAAGTTCAGTGGCTGCTGAGTGCGGTGCACTAGCAATTGGGTGGCAAGCTCTGCATGCGATGTTTCGAGAGAGCGGCCCGTCAGTGCACACAGCTGGCGTCTGTGCGGGTTGCTGGACTGCTGGGGTAAGGGTGGACGAGGTGTGGGCGGCAGAAGTGAAAGTTGGTGCTGCACGAGATGCAACACGCAATCCCACCAAGCAAGGGCGCCGACCCGCACCAGTGGGACACGGTTCGTGCCAGATCCCAGCGGCTTGGCCCAGTTCTGTGGTGGGTAAGTAAACGCAGCGCGCGCGGGCAGACGGCAGTGAGGCTGTGTCCTTGGCTAGATGTTGCAAGGCCAACAACACCGACCAGCACCGCGGCTGAAATATGCGCCCTGCAGCACACACCTCTGCAGTCTTCAAGCATTGCAAGTGTGGTGCATATGAATGCGTTTGGGTTGCAGACGCATGGCGTCATCCGCGACCGCACAGCAGGTTCATGCAGCCTCTTACGACTCGCCTTGGTGCAGCTGCGGCAGAACTCCGGGGCATCGGCCGGGCACGCCTCAATCGCCACGTTCGCGCAGGTGCAGCCGAGCTCCATGTAAATCGGCATGTCCGAGCAGGTGCGGAAGTCCACGCTCAGCGCCTGAGCCAGGGGCCGCGCAGCCGCGCCGGCCAGCGCGCCGACAACTCCCCCGCCGTTGAAAGGCAGCTCGAGCCTGTGCGAGTGCGCAGGAGGTGATGGACGCGAGCAGTCGTGAAAACGGGCTTGCCGCACCACGCGTGTATGGCTGCAGTGCGTGCCAGGGCGCCTGTGCGTGGCACACACTGCAGCAGCTCCCCCCCACACACACCTGATGTCGCTGCCAGCTGGGAGCCTTGTCCTCAGGTCCTGTTGCCACTCCATGTGGGCAAACAGGTCAGGTAATGTAGTGCGGTACGAAGTGTTGGCGCCGGCTGGCGCTGAGCTGTCAAAGGTGGTGGTCAGCAGGAAGTCGTCTGGGATGGGATAAGGTGGGATCCCGGCATGATGGGTTGAGGGGTGGGTTGAGGGGTGGGTTGAGGGTGGCCCAAGGCTGACGACACACAAGGTCGAACAGGCAGCTTGACTTGGCCGTTTTGTGCTGCTCTGGCATAAGCCTGCACGCAGCAGCGTTCCTCAGTGCAAATTCACCTCAAATCCCCAACCCCTGCAACACCACGCAGCGCCTTACCAAGCTGCACAGAAAGCAGCGCCTGCCGCTCCCCGGGCACGAGCCCCTGCAGCATCCAGCCAAGGGACACGTGGCCCAGCAGCATGCAGCTGGCACTGAAGCTCGAGCAGTCAAACACAAACGCCAGGGACTCGCGGCCGTCTTGGTACTTGACGAGAGCGCCCGCCACTTGGGGCGCGGCACCAAGCTGCTGGGGCTCAAATTGCAGGATTGGCTTCGGCGTGCAGGGCGGGTGCAGGCCGGTGCCAGCAAAGTCGCTGGCCCACATGGAGCAGGTGGAGAGTGGCACCGCCTTGCCGGGGCACCTGTGGGGGGTGAAGGTTTGCAGCACAGGGGCGGATTTGAGGCCGGCGGAGCACACTGTCTGCCCAGTAGGGCTGCAGTTCAAACGCAACCTCGGACATCAATTTCCACCGCCATGCCAACCCCCGGACGGGCGGCTGGGCAAGGGCGCATGTGCATGGAGGTAGCAGCACAAGATAGGGGCGCCATTGAAGGTCGAAAACCCACCTCCAAAGGCCGCCGCTGGTCAGGCGAGCCGCGGGGTTGACGCGAGACACGCCAATCGGCGCGTCCGCGGTGAAGGTCATGGGGATGTCTTTTGAACTGCAGGAGAGCGTGTCCGGGTCCAGGCCGACGTTCTGCGGTGAAATAGATGTGACAGTCAGCGTCAGCGTCGTTTTTGTGAGGGAGGTTGGCACGACAGACCGAGCAAACGGCGCAGGCAGGCAAGCGGCAGGCGGAGCAAGGTGCACGCAGCTGTGGAAAAGAGGCTGCTGTGCGGTTGCTGTACACGAGCAAGAGAAGGCGGCAAGGAAGCACAGGGAGCTCCAGTAATAGTTATAGCGTCAACGTGGGGGCTAGAACCCCTCAAATTACCCTCCACCCCATTGGTTATCAAGGCAACGCCGTTAAGAATTGGAGCCGCACCGTCGGCCAGGCGCCAAACTTGACGCTTCGGGCGCCCGTCTTGCGCTGGAAGTTCCAGAGCACCTCGACCTGCGCCCTGGTCAGGTAGCCGGTGGCCTCGAGGTTGGGGTACCTGGGGGGGGGCATCGGGGTTGTTGAGAGTCAGCTGTGCTGTCTTCACTGTGGAGGGCTGTGGCGGGTGTGCGTACCGGTCGGCGGTGCAACTCGAAGTACCAAGGGGCAAGGGTTTGAAGGGCAGGCAGCGTGCTTGCGCTTGTGCTTGGGGCCGAAGCTCACATGACGTAGCCGGCAAAGCGGGCCGAGCCGTCAGGGGCCCACAGGAGCTCTGTCAGATTGAGGGAGGAGCCGGGGCTGACTGGCACCACCGTGAAGGGGGCGCCGTAGCCGCGCATCACTTTGGTGATAAAGTCCGTGCCTGCAAAGCCTGCAAGGGCGCCCAAGTGGTAAGGGGGCAGGTTTCAGACGGTGGGCCCCCTTCATGTGGTGCAGTTGGTTTGGGGTCAGCAAAGACGAAGAAGAAGGGGCCAGGCCTAGGGCTTCATGCATTGAACGCTAGTGTGGGTTGAGAGGGCCTGGAATAATGCTGCACGGACACATCGGCATGTAGGCGCTGCGCATGGTGCGGCCCCGTGTCAGGAGCTGCGCCTGCCATGCGTGGCGCCTGGCTCAATTGGAAGGTGCATTGCCTCAGACTGCCCTGGTCTACCCCATATGGATACATCTTCATAAACAGCTCCCTAATACGCCCGAGCCTTCCCTTGCCCCCATATAACCCGCCCACCTGGGGCCGTGAGGACCAGCACCTCCAGCTGCACCACCATGGCGTGCGCCGCGCCGACAGCGAGCAGCAGCGCGAGCAGCAGGTAAAGACTTGTTTTGAAAGCCATTTTTTGCGATTAAAAAGTAAAGGGAGGCCGAGGCAAGCCGAGTTTGACAAGATTTGCGTCGGTGAAGCAGAGAACGAAGTGGCCTTGCGTGAGGCTTGGGTGCAGGGCTGCAATGAAGGTGAATCGTTGAATCAAAGTGGTTCTTGAAACGCTATTATGAGCACTATAACGTGGCCTGGCGGAAATTGTGCTCGTGCCCGCCCCGTCAGATCCGCCCAAGCTGCCCACGGACGGGTTTGCCGTCTTCCTGCCAATATGAAGGTCAAGATTCAAGCCCATACCTGTTTTTCATATCCAGAGCCTCCAGGCAGGAATTCGACGGGACTGCCTCCGCGTCAAGCAGAACTACATACACGGCGGCTCCTCGCCCCGTCATGCGGCGCCTGCAACACTGTGGTCACAACCATACTCCAGTGTTCAATCCTAGAAGCCCGGATGGTTTCATGCTCGGACCACTGTGGAGCGTGGTGAAGACCGTTTCCAATATGGTGCAGGGGTGTGTGCCACCAAATGCGGCAGCCTTGCTCGCGCCACTGCTTCGAGCTGTTGCGAGCAGCTGGCCTGCAGGCTTGCGGGGCCTGATTGTCGCACGCATCACGATGAATTACATACAATAACAGAGTATTGTAGGTAGGTTACTGTGTTGATGACTTGTAACCAAACCAACAGGCAACCAAAATCATATGTAAGCAAACCAACCACATAACCACGAAATTATACCCATCACTACATTGAAGCGCGTCGCGCACGATGTTGTTGTGCACGGTGCAGCCAGCAGCCACACATGCGTGGCCACTGCCAAAGTGTTTGCCCTCAAGCACCTCGTCACACTGCTTCTTGTTGAGGCCTATTCAGCAGGCGTGCAAGTGCAGCCCCAGACAAAATGCACAACAAGACCCGCTCCATAAACACACACAAAGGCAGTCACGTGTAAAGGGTTCAAAACGTGCACGGCAGTTCAAAAGCCCAGTCCCTCTCAGTGTGCGAGCAGAAATCGCACGCTCAAGATCTTGACGAACAGATTTTCAACCCAAAGAACGGGGGTTTGGCAAAGGCGTCTTCTAGCTCAAAAACCCAACTCCCCAAGCCAACCACACCCCCAGCCAGGAATGGTGGCTGACCGCCCTTGAGGGAACCTTGGACCAGCTTTTATGCCGTAGAGGACGGCGAGTACCAAGACAGCCCCGGCACCTCAACCCGTGCAGAGCCGCCTTTGGCCATGGGGATGGTCACGCTGCTTGCACCCCCCGCAATCAGCGGCGCAAAGCACTGCGCATCGCCGTCTGGATCTGCGCTGCTCTTGACCGTGACGGCCGTGACGGTGCCGTTGGTGCCGACCTCAATCGCGTACGACAGGGCGCACTCGTCGCGCGCCTGCCTGGCCAGGAACAAGGCCCTCAGGTCGTCGAGCTTGAGGGAGGTGAGGGGCCACAAGGCGTACTTGGCAAACTCAGCCACAACAGCCTCGACCCAGTGCATGGCCAGGCTCTTGCCGGAGCCATCCAGAATTGCCAGGTTTGCTTGGTGCTGCGGGTGTTGGGGTGCGTGGTTTCGGATGGCAGGGCGTGAGGGCCGTGCTAAGGGCTGCGAAGGTTGTCAGAGCCGGCCAACATGCTGCACGAGCATTGGCACGACAGCAAACAATCCAATAGTGCATGGCAAAAGCGACCCCAATGATAAATTTTTATTCTGCTGCGTATCCTCTTTGACCCGATCCCTCAACCCACCATCATGTGGGGGTCGTGGCGCAGCGCCAGCAGGCCCTCGCGCACCACCCTTTCCGCCTCTCGCTGCATCAGCTCGTCAATGGTCGAGTCGCGGCCGTAGAAGGAGCGGTACAGAGAGTTGTACAGCTCGAGATTCTGGCTGGCAGTCGAGCAGTTGTAGTAGATCTCGGTCGCAAAGCGCGGCAAAATCTGGAAACCGTCGTAACCGTGCTCTTCCACTGTCGTGTAGAGCATTTGATGGGGGTTGACGGGATTGCCCAGGAAGCTCCAGGTGTCGTCGCCGACTGCGCAGCCCACGCCTTGGCTCGCGAGGGCGGCGAGCGCGTCGCCGTTGTGGAGGCCGCTGATCTGCGAGGGTGCAGCCGCATCAGGGGCCGAGAAAGGACAGATGAGAGCAGAGGGCGACACATGCAAGTCCAATAAACATGGCAGGCGGCAGGAAGCGGTAAGAGGAAACATCGTAAATGGGCGGGGCTGGGGCTGCTGGGCACAAACGTATGGGCGTCAAGACTTTGCCAGGGTTCCTGGATCTTCAGCTGCCCAACGTGCAGCAGCAATGCAATGATATTCACTTGCGCACCTGGGGCGTAACCATGCAGTTGCTGCTGAAAGTGGAGCGGTTCGACAGGCCGAGGAAGGCCTGCGATGGAAAACGATTGGTCGGGAGTGAAAATGGGGCATGGTTGGCTGCCAATCACATGTCATGCACCCTGCCAAGACTGCGTTGCTTGCTCCTCTTCTGTCTGTAGCTTCATGCTGGTTTTCGCAACCCAACTAGCGTAATGGCTCACCGCCATATCCACATTCAGAGACAGCTGCTTGTCCGCATCAAAGCTCGTCGCGTTGTCCAGGTTCTGTGGTTTGCAAGCGGGTAGCAGATCACGGCTTGAGCATGGCTGCATGTACATGGTGGCAGGTTCAAGATAGTCCTGCATATACACGTATAGACAACCGGTCGCGCCCCCTCACAGCTGCAATCCCCTTGATTGCCATACCCCCTTTCAGCCAACTGCACTGCGGTGCCCCAGCCTGCGCCCACCTCGTGCGTAAACGTGTGGTGCGAGAAGAAGAAAGCGTCAGCAATGCCCCCCTCGTTGTTCTTGAGGGCGGTGGCAATAGGATCTGCCAGCTGGAAATCTGGATCTTGCCATTGGGAAGAGAAGTTCACGGCAGTCTGCGGGATGTGAAAGCACAAGAATGGTGTGCATATGAGGTCATCGGATGACAACGTTTGCGCGTGTTTGAGCCTGATGACAACACTCGGTTTGTGGCAGGCTGCCTGGTGGGCCGGGCAGCAGGGTCCAGCCACCCCCTGGATGCAAGCACAAGGCAGACAAGGGGGTGGCCAAACAAAGCTTGCGTAGATTTGGGCAAAAAGGAGGCCGCACTCATGGCCCCTTCGTGCAGCAGTGTGCGCCTGTCGCACCTGCGGGACGCGGTCTGCCCCGGATCCCAGCGGCTTGGGCCAGTCCTGGGGG